ATAAACTATCCCAGTGGAATCCGATGTTTGACCAGCTTTTTTTCTGTTTGAATGGGCTTATATTGGAGCGAGGACATGCTCTCAGTGGCAAGCACCCAGCTCATTCCTTTCCTGAGCCGTGGAGGAGCAGTGCTTTTTTGAGTGTTCTCCTTGCAGTTAAACTGGCTGGATTAAGCTTGACACTGCCTGCAGCAGTTAATTACTTTGACTACTTTTATTGATGCCTGACCACAAACTGCAAGCCCACAAGATATGTAATCCTCAATTTATATACAAAATATGTAACATATGGTTCTCACCAACCTGTCCTCTCTCACTTCCTTCTTCAGTGGCCACACATCATAGAAATGGACCGGCAGTTCAGCAAAGGAGAACAAAGGAAAATCTATACATGTATGGCTAGCCTTAGTTTAGAATGCTTGGTGTCATTTAAGGTTCACTTTAAAAGTGTGCAGAATCTCTGGGGTTTTCACTTATTGGAAATAACTTGACACTTGCAGTCAACTCTGTGGTCAGGTTATGGAAATGCAGCTGCACCTACATGAGACAACCATATCTACAGTATGCAATGTGTACATGGCCTGTTACAGTAACCTTGCAAGATATGATCATTCTTTTCCATATATAACACCTGAAATTTCTTTGTTTTTCAGTTAGGGGCAGATCATTTTTCCCACTGCACACTTCCCTTTACATCATGTGCTTCGGGACTTATTGCAGTTGCAATGATTTTGCAGTAAATGGCATGGAGTGTTTTGTTCCCCTACCATTACAGAAATAAATCACTCTCTATTAAGGCTTATCAGCAATTTACCAAACAGCAAAAGGTTTCAGTATAATGTTTAGAAATATACCTCTGGAATTAATAGACGAAATAAAGCACTCTCTTTGGAGACAGGTTGGCAATTACTTTGTAAATAGTAGTGATTTTTATCCCTGTCACATTCATACAGTGTCTTTAAAGGGAAGCTGTAACCATTTTCAACTTTTCAAAGCAGAAGTCCTTGCCTGAGAGCAAGCAGCACAAGCTATTCCAGTAATACCAAATCACATTTTCCACATCCCCTTTTCTATCCAATATAATCACCAAATATTGGTCTACGGCACATATTTCTACAGTAGCATACAGTAGCATACCACAAAAAAAAAAAAAAATGAACTCTATAACATAGTCACAACTCCAGCTAAAACTTTTAAAGTGACATTAAGATCACACATTTTTTCTTCGTCCCCCCCCATGCTGCTTTAAGGACTTACCTTAAATGATGCCTTCCACTTGTATTGAGAAGTCCCTCCAGCGCTGGTGACGGTCTCTGATCCAGCGCAGACTCCTTAGGTCCCACGGTGTCTGTCCGACGTGCATGCTCACGCTGTGTCTCCCCTCTTTTCCACGCCGAAGATCTCTACTACGCATTCGCGCCCGCCCCGTCATCCTGCTCGGCCACTGGAGAAGCTCCAGATTTTCAGACAGGAGCAAGCGGCGGTGCCTTCCTTTCCTGGTGACAACTACTTCCCTCATTTCTTGTATGGGTATCACAGGAACAGGAAGTTAGGAAAAATCTCCCAATGAGATCACAGGAAGCATTAAAAGGCTGCTAAAAATTTCAACTCTTCCCCACTCTTACCATAACTAAAAACATTTTGCTGGTGTTAGGCATTAACCTTTGTTTAGTGTATTATAAAAAAAAATTATAGGTAATTTTATCAAAATGGAATGTCAACCCTTGAACATATTGTTTTTACTTCTTTACCAGTGTGGCCAAGCCTGTTGTTCCCTTATAAAATGATTATAAGTAAAAGTTGTCAGCATACATTTCGCCTGTGCCCAAGGGGTCTATTTAAAAAAAAATCAAACAAGATTCACACAGCTTTCACCCAGGATTCACATATTTTTCTAATGAATTTCAATTGGGAAAATGTATGAATACTGGGTGAAAGCTGTGTTAAAACCTTTGTAAATAGACCCCCAACTGTGCATCATTTTTCTCTGTAACAGTGCATTTATTGTCGTAGCTTTGGTATACTAAAGCTGACCATACACTGGCTTTTTTCTTTTATTCAGCCTATAACAGATTCCTCCATCCACCCTAAACAGTGTGGATGGACACATCTCCCACTGGTCTATTGAATTCTGACAGCAAGTGTGCTGCTGTCAGAATACTTGAACAATGATTATAGGTAATTGGCTGCCATCACTTTACGGCTGAGATTTTTTTGGCCTGGCTTATTTGATTTTCAGATCAAAAGATGTCAGATGGGAGGCTGCCAATAGGGCCCCCCACTGAGCAAAAGTTCATCAAGAATATACCGAAATTTGCTTTGTTTATGGCCAGCTTTAGGATTTTGGCTAGGCCAAGTTTCAGTGACATCTGACAGCTGATGGCAAGAGACACATGCCTGTAATTCAGTCCAGTACTTCATGTCCCATTTTCAGCGGCTTTGTTCCATTTTCTCAAAACACAAGCTCATTGAACTTAACTTCAGGGAAAGATGCCCTAAATGTTGTTGTTGTTGTTATTATTATTATTATGCTCATTGGACACTTGGGAAGGTGTCAACTACCATGTACTGTATCTCTGGCCTTATGTGACATAATTGTTATATTCTCAGGGACGATTTGTAAATGGGGGGGGGTGGCTATTTGAGGGGTCTAATCAATTTCTGATGTCTGGATTAGGAGACAGGATGGCAAACTTGATGACTGCATCTGTCAGTTTATGTGGCTCTTGAATGATTGTTTTTATTATTTCCAACTAAATTCAGTAATCTGAATTTGGTCCTAAGTATTTATGTCTCTGCTGGTGTACAGATTTTCTGCTGGGATTGAACGCAATAGTTAAGTAAGATATGTGATAGTTTCTTGTGTTTACCATATCACCAGCACATTGATGCCACATTCTAATTATAATAGATGCTCTCAACCTAGAACTGATTGCAGCAAGTAATAAACAGAATAATGTTTGCTCCCAGACACAGTTAGTTGATATACACAGAATATATGCACTGCAGAATTTTACTGCTCCCATTGGGGGTCATTTACAACCTGAAAAAAATGCTGTACAGCAAATTCTATTTTTTACCATGATACACTTCCAGAGCATGGTAATTATCAGCTCTTTAACACTATCTCCAGGCAAGCAACTAAATACACCATTGCGTTCCAAATATATGGAAAGTGTCCTACCTGCTAAAGGATTTCATGCTATGAAGACGCTCTTGTCATCATGACACTTCTGGCAGACAGCATAACCAGATCCTCAGAAGAGGATGAGCTAATCACTGTGCTGCTTCTCTTTTACTGTCCAGTCACAGGCTGGGGTGCAGGTCCAGGACAGCCTGAGCTCAGAGGAAATGGGTTAGATGAGGCTGGCTGTCCTTCGACCTGGAAGGCTGGAGACATCTATTAATTTTATTTTGGATGCAAATCTGCTTTAAATGTTCATGTATAAAGGCAGCATTCTGTAGATTAGTATTACTATATGTGTTTACATTGATGTATGTTAACTAACTTTTTCTGTAAGAGTGGGCAAAGGGCTTATCAATGAATGTACAGGTCATAGAAAGCAAAGATTGTCTATCCCTGGTAGGGAGATTGGCAGGATAAATGGACTTCTTACAAATGGACACAAGTAAAGACTAAAGACAATAAAGGAAGGTTTATATGAGAGCATAATTAGGGTGAGAGACAGGAATACAACCATGAACACAGCCAATAGTATCAGGATGAGATCAGACAGGAGACTGTCACAGCCAAGAGGGACAACCATTACGCTAGAATAGACTCCAAAGTCAGTAATAATTACTAAGGGAGCCAAAAAAAATCTCACAGGCATAAGACTGCAATAGTATAAAAATGTGAGAATGGAAAAATCAAATTATGAGCTAAACCAAACAGTTTATGGAGTGTGACTTTAAACTCTATAATACTTATATGTGTCCTAATTTTATTTTTAGTGTAAGTACCTAACTTAAGTTAGGTATGAACCTATTGCAGTCCTTGTGCATCAAAGCTTAGAGAGGGAGAGAAAGAAGCAGCACATGCGTGGTGAGCTAATCAGTCGCCGCTTCTCTTTTCACTGTCCAGTTACAAGGTCAGGGTGGGGAGGAGACCTGTAAGTGAAAGTGATACTGCAACAGAAAAAGATCAGTGCCTCCCCTTGCCAGGAAGGACTGTGTGCTGTGTAGTAGGGCTGTGTAAATCTCATGACTGGATGTACAAAAATGCAAATCCTTTGGTAGGTACAATAGCTCAAATATACCTATATGGTGAGAGAAAGAGAGAGCGAGAGAGAGACATATGCACTTCAGGCATACATCAAAACAGTGTAATAAACCAGTGTTGTGTAAATCTCAGGACTGGATGTACAAAAATACAAATCCTTTGGTAAAACAGGAGAGAGAGGGAGGGGGAGAGAGAAATAGAGAAATAGAGATCAGCTTCAGGCAAGCAGCAAAACAGGGTAGTAAACCTGGGCTGTGTAAATATCAGGTCTGGATGGGCATCAAATATATTTTGGGAGAGAGAGACGTGTGTGAAGAGGGGGGGGAGAGTAGAGAGAGAGTGAGAGAGAGAGAGACAGA